ATTCATGCTTCTTTTAATTAATCACCAGATAGTAAATTTAAATCTATTGCATTAATAGCCTTATTTAATACTTGCTTACTTCAAAGTAAGCCCGACTTAATTTTTAATGGAACAGATGATCCAGTGAAAAAAGGCATAGAATTGCAATTCTATGCATATTTACTGAAAAGTAAGCCCTACTTTATCAAGGCTCAGTTTTGGGTAAATCCATATAGGATTGCAGTGTGATTTCCTTTAATCGAACATTCTTATTCTGAATAGAATTTTAAAATCCTTTTCAATCTTTTCTTTGTTCTACTATTCCTAGTTTTCTGGATTTATTGTTGTATGCCATGTGACGAGTCACGTGACATGTTGCGACATATCGCAACTTTTTTTTTCATTGCCAGAGCTGGGGTGGGCATGGCCTCTGCATGATGCAACCGGCCTGTAGGCTGGCACTTTTACATCCCTGTTGTATGCTACTTTAAGGATATCTGGAGCTAAACTAAGACAATAGATTCTTTTTTAATAAAAGTGTTTTTAAATTGCAAAGAGAACGTGCCTTTGTGTATGTTTGCTTTAATCCTAGTTGAATTTCCAAGAAGTAGCAAAATATTAAACATCTGGAAGACACTACAGCTTGATATGAACAGATCTCTACAGTATAGGGAAACTGCAATGGCCATATACAAATATATCCTATATATTTAATAGACGTGTAAAAAACAGAATGTCAACCTATACAGAAATCACCTCTTAAAAGAAGTCACTGTATGTCAAACCTGACTCATAGGTGGCAGATGCCAAAGACAGCTTGTAAAGGAAGGTCAGGCCCTGAGCAGCCACTTGCAGTCAGAAAACTGGATTCTCAGAAAGTCTCGTTACTCTGATGTGTTGAGAAGAAAGAAGGGTTAAGTTACAGAATCTTGAAAAGTGGGTATGTGTACTTTAGTCCCCATTCATCAATAACAATCTTAAGGAGGAGCCTTCTCGATGCCTTTGATTCTCTTCTGCCTTTTGATGCAATGAAAATGTTGCAACTCACTTGCTGTTTATGGAGGGAAGAATGTGCATTTGTTGTGGCTCTGCCATTTGTGCAAATGGCTATTCCATTTCCACTTCTCTTCCTCCTCTTCTTTCCCTTCCTCTTCTTTTATCACTTTGGGCTTCGAGGGAGATACAAAGTTCTGTTTCTTGCTCTTCTCGTTGGCCTCCATCATTTTAAATCGATGTTGTTGTAGTGTGTCTTTGATGTCTGTCATGGTTCTGATGGACAGAGACAAATAAAGATGTCTTTCCATCTTCTTCTGTATCACAGTTATTTACAAGCCAAGAGCTATTTATATGCTATACACCTGTCCTTAAGTTGACAGAAAAGTATACCTGCATCAAAAGAGGCTGTCACAATTAGTCTGCTTCAGAAAAGGGGCCAGTGAGTAGAGGAGAAACACAAGGCAGACATCTTGTGCTTTATGACCTTTTCCTCTTTTTGTATATACCTTGTATGGTATTAAATCCCACAACATCCTCACCAGATTAGCAAACCACTTTATTTGCTGTTTTTGTGTGTAGTTTAAGATTGGTTCTATGCCAATTCTTTCTTTTATGGTATCATTTCTGATTTTATCACAAATAGTAAATAGAATTAGAGAATTCTATTACAGGTAATATTTTCTTGGAATTGAGTTGATTCCTGGTGACTACGTCCTTCCTGGGACATTTCTGAGGGGTAAGCAAGGTAGACAATTGTTGACACATGCATAACAATGTAACCTCACACACAGTACAAATTAGTGCTTGCCTCTGATGCCATGACATCATTGTATCATTTGCAGAAGATATCATGATGCACATGTCATCATTTTGGCATCTTCAAAGATTATTAGACCTTGCTATGTCTACTATGTATTGATTTCTTGGCAACAGTACAGATGTGATTGACCACTGCTTTGTTTAAAAAAAGTGTGCTTTTTTAAATTCCGAGTCTAGACAACAATTCTGGATTTTGTGGTGCTCTTCCAACTAGAGTTCCCAACCGTGGTGCGAGACAATATTCCAGGGGGTACGAAAACTTGGGTTTTCAAAATTATAATGTATATGCATAATTCATTGCTCTTATTTCAAACCTTTGTAAGGGGTGCGAGAATATATCAAAAGTGTTCTATGGGTGTGAGGTATAGACAAGGTTGGGAGCTGCTGGAAGTTGAAAACTATTTTGTAATAAAACTTGTTGTGGTGAAACAGTGGAAGACCTGATCCATTATTTGTGACATTGCAAATGATACCAGAAACCCAGAGCTACCAGTAGATTAAAATATAGAATATCAGAGTTGGAAGGGACTTGAAGGTCTTCTAGTCCAACCCCCTGCAGAGACTGAAACATTTACAGATACAGATTCTGCAACCAGCACTCAGTGAGCACTTTCAGTGAATTCCTTTAAGACAGAGTAATTTGATAAATCCTCTATGCTATTAATACCTTTTGATGGTCAGTGCTAAGGCTTATGCTTCTGGAGATGAAAGATCTCTTTAATCCAGAAAGACCAGGGAGTCTGGCTTTGCTGCAAGCATGGTTTTAAAACACATGTGCTAAATGTCTCTCCATACATCCTGCAGAGTTGTTCCTATCTAGCAACAATACACTGGTAGACAAAAGTAAGGCTATGTTGGAATATAGGAAGTTTTCTGTATAGGAATTGATATATCTGTTCTGGAAAGTTGCAGAGAATCCTAGAAAAATCTACAATTTTATACTAACTCTGATAAGATAAATCTCTGCCCCCCCCCCAAAAAAACCCCTTCTGGTTTGTTTTTCTTGTTTTTGTTTTCTTTCTCTTGTTTTGGCTGAACACTATCTGGGGTATGCCAGTCTTTTATCTGTATACGTCTACAAACAAAATTGATATTAAGACCTAATCAAGCTTAAAATTACACTTTCAGGATCATCCTAGGAATTTAAAACACAATCTAGCCACAAAAGACATACACAGTAGATATCCATAGAGGTATTGGGTTGTTGTTTACAATCAAATAGATTTGGGGAAGAACACTAAAGAGTAAGGCTGTTCATTTACTTCTCTCCTCTTTTGTCTAAAGCCATACATTGGCCTCTTCCACAACCTGGACAGTGGAAAGTGAAGAATGGTGTAATCAACATTTTTCTGAGGTCCCAAGTTGCTATATAGGTTTATTTCAACAATGACAGGGAAGAGAAAGTCCCTGAGGTTTTACATTGCTTTTCTACCCTTGCAATTGCCTTTAGCCATTAGGACAGCCTCTTTCAATCTAGTGTCCAGTGTTGTAACTGGGAATGCTATCCGCAGCCAACATGGCCAAAATTTTGTTTAATCCAGTTCAATTCTCGAAGTGTTGGCTGAATTACTAGGAGTTGCATTTCAAACAGGCCTGGAGGGCATTCAGTTGGGGGAGGATGCTCTTACTTCCTTCTGATACTTTGAAGGATTGGAGTTTTATCTGGAAAGAGTGCAGCCTAGCTAAATGACTAAATGTGCAAACCAAAATGCCTTTCCTAAGCATTGTGAAAAATGTCCCAAAAGAACTAGGGAAATGCAAATTTAAACCCCCACTTAACCACAAATGCTCTGGGTGACTGTATTTTGTTGATACCCTTTTGCATGCTCTTATAGTACAAAAGATGGGGCGAAGACAGCAAGGCATTCTACCATGATCTCCTTGAAAAAAAACCGGAGTATATTTCTTTAATAAAAATTGCTTTTAGATCTCAAACATTCCCTACCTCCTTATCAAATGGTCTAAATTCCACCCATCCCAATTCAAGTGATAGAATATGCTTTCAAGAAAAAAATAATGAGGTGAAGCAATGCACTTAGCATGATTACTTGGTAAAATGCTGATGGTCCAAGTGTATAGCTCCCCACTTAATTGGCCAAATCAAAAACCAAATGGCTAGATTTCAATAACACAATTTCAATCCACCAGGATAATTTTAATGAATGGAACCAGAGTGGTTTTCCTCTTGCTTCAACTCTTAAAGAAAAAAAGGCCTCTTCCGATAATTCACTGTGTCACCAGATGCTCTCTTGCAATTGCCCAAGCCAGTGCATTGTGTGAACACACAATCTTCAAGGAACAGAATGCTTTTTAAAAATTTTTGGCAATATCCTATGTTGACAAAGTGTTGGAACACATTATTAGCAAGTGAAATTTTACTTCACGCACTGAAGAGAAGTATAATTTCATATGCCAAGTTACTCCATATTAAGCAGGTTTTAAAAGACTCTGCCAGAAATAAAGATATATATATATAACAGGGAATCTCTGTTGCAACTATACAAATATTAAGCAAGTCATTGATGCTTCCATTTATATCACTATCTTTTACTATCATTGCCATCTCACATTCTTATTGAGAAATAAAAAGGGATAATTAAAACAATGTTTGCAGTTCACCATTAATAATTTATATTATACATTTGGGTTGTAAACCTGGGACACTGGAATATTGTCAGCGCTAAGAACAGTTGGATTTAACTTTGAATGGGTATTAGCATCCTCTGCAGGATTTTACTGCCTTTGTTGCATTGTACTACAAGCTCTGCTCTGGGGCATGTGCATGACATCATGACAAAAAGAGAAAAGTGGTGAGGATTATGTTGCACAAGTGCTTTCATCTGTCTTGCCCCCAGTGGAAGCCATTGATGAGTAGATACTGTATAGAATTGCATTGTAAGTGGACTTTTCTACATTTGTCTTTGTGCTTTTGAAAGAAACGGTTGTAAAGTTGAACAGCTTTAACATTAAGCTATCAGAGAGATGGCAGAACTAGGGGTAAACTTATGGGAAGCAGCTTGAATTGGTTTTTAAGCAATTAAAGGAGCAACCCAAATTGATTTGAAAATTAAACAATATAGTAGGCTGATATATATTGTAGGCTTATTTGTGTGATATGTTTATATACATTGCTTTGCTCTCAGTTCTCTGGTGGGTGGTTCTCTGTTGAAAGTTTTCTCTAATTTTTTCTGATTTCTAATCTACAGACTCCCAAAGGCACATGTGCTGAAGCAGTGAAAACTGCCATTGATGTCGGTTATCGCCATATTGATGGGGCTTTTGTGTATTACAATGAGCACGAAGTTGGACAGGCCATACGGGAGAAAATTGCACAGGGGAAGATCAAGCGTGAAGACATATTTTATTGTGGCAAAGTAAGACATCTGAATCAGTTCCTTTCCTTGGAATAAGGATGAAGCATATTGTTGCTTTAACCAATGTTTTACCTCCTTTTCTGTTTTTCTCAGATCAGAAAGGAAGCTCAGAGGAGCAGATTAGCTGGAACAGGGGTGGAGAACTATGGCCCTCTTATGATTTGTGGACTTCAACTCCCAGAATTCCTGAACCAGCCATGCTGGCTCAGGAATTCTGGAAGTTGAAGCCTACATGTCACAAAGAGGCTATAGTTCCCCACCTCTGAGCTGGAATCTAGAACCATTCTTCATAACAAAGATTCTGCTTTCTTATTCCTTTCTGTTCTAGCTGCTGCAGCTAATTTTATATTGCTAACTAGTTTAGAGGAATCTTTAGACTGCCTTTTCATGGCAGGAACCCTCAGTGAGGTTTCCAACATAAGTAATAATAAAAGTAACTGACAATTACAGTAACCATATGCCCTCTATTATAAAGGACTGTCCTTTATTTCAGAAAGCAATACTTTAGATTTATTTCATTACTTCCTTGGTTTTCCTCTTGAACTTTCTTCGGTAAAGCCAAGGTATAAACATTTTTTTAAAATCCTCATGAACCTGTTTTCCATTTGCCCCCTTTTTAGGTTTGTTCTTTATTTTTTTCCCCAAGAAAATATAGCAATACTGATAATAAAAGAAACATCCTGTCCCGCTATACAAAAAAATATGAAGCTATTGCAGTCTGATAAAAATACAACTTCAGAACAGGCTGCAGAAAAATAAATGAGTGATTACAACCTAAGACTAATGGAGTCAACAAAACTTTTTAAGTGGAACATACTGTAAATGAGTTTCTTGGAGCTGGGAACTGGACATTTTTTTTAAAAAAAATTGCTTTCATCTCTGTGAAAGGTGTGGCAGAATTGTGATAGCCTGTTTTGGGAGGAGGAGTTTTTAAGAAGCTAAATGGGTGCCCTAAGTTCCTTGCAGAAACTTAAGATCTCTATTTTGCTTCCCCAAATTCCCTTAATGGCAGTTTTACGTTTGCAGGTTTTTTCCAGTTCTTTAAAAATTAAAATCAGAAATGCCAATGTTTGAAAATGAACAGGAATTCAGAAAATGTTGGGGTGAAGCATCTTTAAAATTACAAAGGCTTTTGATGGCAGAATAGAAAATACGAATGTGGTTTCAATTAACCTTGACCCTGCCACTTTAAACAAAGGGCTTTCAGGCAAGAAAAAAAAATCCTTGCAAATAAAAGTCAGTTTCTGTTAAGAGATCAGTCTCTAAAGCAGTTCATTGATCTATGCTGGAAAAGACTGTTATTGTAGACTTGCAGGAAATGGCTAATTTGTTGTGTCTGAAGCTTGATTTTCCTGAAGAGGAAGAAGAGGCCACTAGAATCTCTATAAAAATCTTTAAATTCCAATCAAACAAAGTTTTGGAAAGAAGAATTCCGTTTTAAACCATCAGATAAAAGACTGAACATTAGGTTGCAGTTTCTAGGCAATGTTCCTGATAAAAAATAGAGCTGTTTTCTGATAACATACAACTATTGACAAGTGCAACATGTCTATCTTACTGAAGAAACTGAATGCAACGTGAAATGAAACTGCAATTACAACTCACACTGCTATTCTCCCTCAGGCCCCCACCCCTCTGTTTTACAGCTCCCACAAACCTGAATTGATAGTCATGTTGGGGCAGGGAACACACAAAAATTGTAAGTTCTGTAACTGGCTTATATCATTAAAAATAATAAAGCACATAGTGTTGGAAGATGCTAGCTTTGTTTACATGGATGATGTTTCATCCTTTTTTATATCATTGCATGTGCAGTCTTCAGATCCTTCTCCACTATTAAATATAAGTCCGAACCATTAAAACATTGCCTATTCTTGCTCTAGAAAGATTGCCTTAGCAGTGAAGCTATCTGCATCTTAGTTTCAGCAGCTTCCAGCTAGGAGCTGTGAATTCAAGATTCTTTGATGGGGACCATTGCTTCATTCAGCAGTTGTAGCAGCATTCTGCCAGCCAATGAGGAAGATGCTTGTGTCTTTCCCCTCCTAACTAGGAACTACAAAACTGTTTCTCTTGACCATAGTTGCTCTGCATCAGGAGACATGAGGTTTCTGAATTGATGGACAGTTTCCATATTAGTCTTCCTCTGGAATTTTAACTGATTGCTTGGTCAAGCCTTACAAAAGAACTGAATAATATCACTGACAAATAACTGCTTTTGTTTTCTGGAACATGCATTTATAGTTTTTAGAAACCTGATTTACTGTTTGGATCATGGCCATCATCATGATCACTATCCTTATTTTAATCTTTGTTGTTTTTAGTTGTGGTGGAACACTATGTTTGTTTTCCTGGGGAAAAAAAAACCTTCTCAGATAATTTGCCTTTAAAATTGGAGTATCGTCTTAAGATTTATTGAAATTCTGTTTGTTGAAATTCTGGTAAATAAGGCAGACAGGTTTCATCAATGAAATAGCTTCATCCCTGGTTAAAAGGTTCTGCTTCCAAGGCCATCCTATGAGATTGCTTCCTTTTGCTGATGGACTAGTGAAAAAACTACTCCTAAAATACTCTAAATTTCTTCTGTTGTCAATTTCAGACATGAATATTGGGTGCTATCTAACAAAATGAAATTCAATGGTGAGAAAAGTAAGGTTCTAGCAGTAACTGCAAGAGGAATCTTAGAGTCCTAGTGGACAGTGTGCTGCATCTGCCAAAAAAGCCAACACAGTCCTGAGCGGCATTAACAGAGGGAACAGAATCAAGATCACGTGTTAATACCTTGGAATACTGCATCCAGTTTTGGTCACCACAGTATAAAAAAGATGTTGAGACTAGAAAGACTGCAGAACAGAGCAACAAAGATGATTAGGGGACTACATATGAAGAACGGTTGCAGGAATTGTGTTTGTCTAGTCTAGTGAAAAGAAGGACTATGGATGATAGAATAGCAGTGTTCCAATATCTAAAGGGCTGCCACAAAGAAGAGGGGGTCAACCTATTCTCCAAAGAACTTGGAGGCAGGACAAGAAGCAATGGATGGAAACTAATCAAGGAGAGAACACCCTAGAACTAAGGAGAAATTTCCTGAGTTATTTTAGTTAATTAATTAAACAATCAGTGGAACAACTTGCCCCCAGAAGTTGTGCAATCTCCAACACTGGAGATTTTTAAGACAACTATTCCTGGCTGAGGAATTCTGGGAGTTGAAATCCACAAGTCATAAAAAGGCCAAGTTTGAAGACCTCTGGCTTAGTGTGCTCATTCTGTTGAATGAAATTCTTAGGCTCCTACTCCAAATTTTGCTACTGTTTCAATACCTTTCCTGTGTAATTATCAGCCCAAACATTCTAGCTTTAGAGAAAGAATAATGAAATAGTATAATTTGTCCATTCCTCTGCTTAGCAGGAAAAATACAAAGTCACAACAAGCAGGTAGTTATGTTAAAAGAATACAAGTTTCAGCAGGGCAGGTGCGCTCAATCCTTGTGAACTAAATTGTCCCCAAATGTGCTTCTAATGTAATTTTAACACTCTAGTTGGAAGTATAAGTAGAGAACCAAATTTGGACTTTTACATTTAATTATTATTGAAATTAATGATTAATTCAACCAGTCAGGTTGCCCTGATAAGAAAAGAGGGTTTCTGTTCTTCATGGAAGATGGGCATTTGTTCTTTGTTGTTAAATTTGTGTCTTGCCTTTGTTTTGTACATAATGCTCCTTCTTCCTATTTTTTTCACAGAGTTATTGGGTTGGCCCAAGAGAGAGAATGACTGACCCAAAGATGTCCAGCCATTAGCAATATGATGGGTCTTTATGGCATTTCCTGGGATACTGTGCAATTGCCAGGATCCTGGCAACTCAGAAAGGTTGTGAAACAAAGACATCAAGATATAGAATGGCTGCAGATGCTTAATAAGGGACCAAGATAACTTAAGTTGTGGAGTGCTAGTCTTACAATATCAGTCCAATTGGCTACTGCTAATCTCTGACAGATACCTGATGTTTCTGGTTCTGAATCAGTTTGCCTTTCCGGATTTCACACAATAGACCTCAGAAGCTTCTAAAACAGGGGTGTTAAACTCTAAACGTCACATGATGTGTTGTGACGTATCGCGACTTTTTCCCCATTGCCAGCAATGGGGTAGGCGCGGTTTCAGCGTGATGCATGCAGCCCGCAGGCCAGCAGTTTGACACCCCTATTCTAGAAAGTCTCCAAATATGGCACTGGTGGAATAGCAAGTTTGGCATAGTGGCTAACCAGGATATTATGAATTGTTGGCCTGTCTTAAATATCAAAGTTGGCTGGGCGATGTTGGGCCATTTGCTTTCTCTTACAGCAGTGGTTCTCAACCTTTCTAATGCCGCAACTCCATAATATAGTTCCTCATGTTGTGGTGACCCCCAACCACTTATACATCATCGGGTGCCAGGGGCATGGGCAAAGAAAAGGGGAAAAAATGGCGGACAGCCTTGTTTGGCGACCCCTGTGAAATGGTCATTCGACCCCAAATGGGGTCCCGACCCACAGGTTGAGAACCACTGCCTTACAGGGTTATTTCTATGGGAAAAATAGGTAGGTGGGGGAATTAGATATATTCTCTGCCTTGAGTTATCTATGAAAAGGCAAGATAAAAATATAATAACAACAGCCCTCTGTTTACATTTTCCAACAGTTAGTAATGATAGGCATGATGCCTCCCAGGCAGATAGTGATAAATGTAGCAGCCTTCATATTTTATTTATCTCAAAGATAGCCATCCTTTCTTTTGCCAAAAATCTGACAAAAACAATCTTGAAACAGTTGCAATTTGAAAACATTGAAAAAGGGTAGCAGTCAGAAGCAGCAGATGTGATTAAGCAAATGAGTGGTGTAAACAGATGGAGAAAAGCTTGCTTTTCTTCTTGTGACTAAGAATTACAAATGTTGGTGTTTCATCCCAACAGATGAACTGCAGGTGGCAAATTTCAGGGATGGAAAGGGTTATTGAAAGTCTTGCACT